TTGATTCTGAATTCTATGGATGAGGATACAGAGACTCAGAGATAAGTTAATAGTCCAAAAGATATGTTAATAGAAGACAGCAGTAGGGTCCAAACTCAGTTCTTCCCAGCTACATAGCTTGCATTATTTCAGCCCTGTCTACTTAATTGTTAGCTGGGCGAGACACAAACATGAACTCCACAGCCAAGTCTTTTTTTTTCTTTCTTTTCTTAAACTAGAGTTTGAACTCAGGAGCGCTTAACCATTAAGCCATATTCCTAGCCCTTTTTATTTTTTATTTTGAGAGAAATAAAAAATAAACTTAGTGGGGCTGGAGATGTGGCTCAATCAGTAGCGCGCTCGCCTGGCATGCGTGCGGCCTGGGTTCGATACTCAGCACCACATACAAAGATGTTGTGTCCTCCAAAACCTGAAAAATAAATATCAAATAAAGTTCTCGTTCGTTCTCTCTCTCTCTCTCTCTCTCTCTCTCTCTCTCTCTCTCTCTCTCTCCTCTTTCTTAAAAAAAATAAACTTAGTGTCTCACTAAGTTGCTTAGGGCCTCAGTAAGTTGCTGAGACTGGCTTTGAACTTATGATCCTCCTGCCTCAGCCTCTCAGGTCGCTGGGATTATAGGCATATGCCATCGCACTCAGCCATAGCTGATTCTTAAAACCAGTTCAGCTCCTTATCCAAAATCTGTTTTCACCTTCTACAACAGCTGCTTTTCACCTCCAACACTGCTAATTCCTCTCTGTTAGTCTAGATCAGGATCAAACTCTGCTCTAAACTTCACTGGGCTTGCTCTATCCAGAGTCATCATGAAAGAACCTGTTTATTCTCCACTAACTCCCTGCAACAAGCCCTGATACCTATCACTTGTTTCTGGAAGTGGTGAAGGCCAAAGTGGGAGAGGAATTAAGTAACTCAGATTTAAGAAAGGCAATCTGCTCTTTTCTCCCCTTTCCCCACACTGTGGGCAGAACCCAGGGGCACTCTACCACTGAGCAATATCCCCAGACCTTTAATTTTTATTTTGATACAAGTTCTCGCTAAATTGCTCAGGCTGTCCTCACACTGCYTCAGCCCTCTCAAACAGCCAGGATTGTAGGCAAGAGCCACTGGCGCCTGGCTGCTCTTTTTTTATGGCGGTGCTGGAGTTGGTACTCAGGGTCTCCTGTACTACACTGGGCAAGCACTGCACCTTTGGGCTACACCCCCAGATCTGGGAACTGCTCTTTAGTCCCACAGAAAACAGAGGACAACTCCTACTGAAGCAGCAGTCCAGAGCTCCTGCAACAGCTGGACCCTGTGCTGTGGTTGGACACACAAAGAACCTCCTAAGGAATGAGGAGAGATGATAGCTTGAAAGAAAAAGTATTGCTATTGGTCTCTTCCTTGGTGGAGCATTAATCTGAATTAGAGGCCTAACTCAACTCACAGATGATGCTCATTTGTAAAGTATCCTCCTGGTCCTGGGGCGGAAGAGCTCCCCGGCCTTAGAGGCACAAGGAATTGGCACCAGAGCAGCCAAAAGGGTAAGGGAGGGGGAGGGAGGAAGGAAGGAATAAGGAAAGGAGGGAAGAGGAGAAAACAAGGGAGGGACAGTACGCCCGGTCTCCTAGGAAATGCCTCCCGGCCCCGCCCCCATCTAGAGGCAATTGTGATGTCACATGTGGAAGCCACAGACGCCTTCCCGCCTTTAAGGTCAATGGAACCCTCGCCCCAGCTCCTGGGTGGGCAATGGACCTTGGGCTACAGCTAAACCGAGCGCCTCAAGAGCGGGGGCCTGGGCCTGGGGTTTCAGTGCACCGGTTCCTTCCAACCTTGGCTCCCGCCAATTCCGCTAACAAGCCTCTAGGGCCTTAGGATCACTGGTTCACGGCTCGACGTGAGCCCGCCCCGACTCTAACTCCGCCCCAGTCCAGGCTTTGGCCCCGCCTCCCTCGTCAAGACCCAACCTCCGGTTCTACACCTTCTTAGGGTCCTCAAGCCAGCCCCTGAGGCACGTCCTGATCTTCTGCCCCGCACCTCCTTACCGCTGCTCTCGCTTTTGTCCCAGGCGTGGGTCTCGCAGCCAGTCTTTTCCTCAGTCCATCTTTCAATTGTCAGTGTCGTCCTGACCCACATCGCTCTCAGCTTGGTTCTTCCACGGGACTCTTGCTTGTGGAGTCCAACCTCGAACCTCAGCTTGGCGGAACCCTCTGTCCAGTCGTAAGCTCCAGTCTCAGCTTTGCCCCAGTTCAGGCCCTAACTCCGCCTCATGCTTGCCCAGTCCCCCCGCCCGCCTCCCCCCTCCCSGCCTTCGGCTGCGTTGTCTTCCCCGCCGGGGTCTAAGCGTCAGCCGCGTTCTTCATCCGGGGCCTCCGCTCCTCCCAGACACCTCTTTGTCACACCTTTAACGCCAGTTACCCACCCCCCAGCCAACCCCTTACCTCAGGCCTTTACCTTACAGGCCCAGCCCTCAATCCCACCCCTAGCTTCTCCAGACCCAGACTAGCACCGCCCGAGACCGTAGCCCCGCCCATAGCCCAGCTCTTGGCCCCGACCCAGCCATTCTCGGAACCTCACTCTCCCGCCCCTCCCCGCCCCTGCGAACCCAGCCGCAGCCCTTAGCCCCGCCCCTGCCCGCCTGCCTCGGAGCACCCAGTTCTCCCCGCTGGCATCCTGGATTCTCCCGGGTCTCTCCGGCTCGGGCAGGAGGCAGGCTCTCCCGGCCGAAGACTCTTGGAGGACATGATGGCTCCCATCCTCCCTATGGCAGCCGAGCCGCAGGGTCACTCAGCTCGGCCACCCCAGGTCCACCTCTCCCAGCTGAGGTGGAGAACCAGGTCTTACCAAACTGACCAATAAAGAGTTGGCTTGTGGGCTGGGGATGTGGCTCAAGCGGTAGCGCGCTCGCCTGGCATGCGTGCGGCTCTGGGTTCGATCCTCAGCACCACATACCAACAAGGATGTTGTGTCTGCCGAAAACTAAAAATAAATAAATATTAAAAAAAAAAAAAGAGTTGGCTTGTATTCCAGTCCTTTCTGGTCCCGAGAGTAGGACAGGCTGCATTTATGGTAACTTTAACCAAGTAACACATCCTTACATACATTACACAGTATACATGTTTATCACACACAGCAACTCAGAAAATCCACTCGCCACACACAAACCTTACACAACATGCACACACCCCTCATACATTGTACAGAACACGAAATTCCCCCCAACCCACACGGCATAAACAGCGCTGTGGTCCAGGCTTTGTGCACAGAGTTAACAGACTGTGTGCAAGGCAAGGCTGAGGAGCCCAGTGTTGTGTGAGAAAAACCAATTATAGTCCAGTGTGCAGATCAGAGTTGCCTCAGACATTCCACACACSACACCTCCCAGTTTCTTCTGGCACCATCTTCCAAAGCCACAGTGTGCCTCAAAGGACAGAGAGGATGGGAAAAGATGGTATTTAAATCTTTTCTCCCAGCCAGGGTCATCCTCCAGACCCAAGTCCTGAGTGGGTAGGGAGGGMCGTTGCCCAAGTTCTCCTCACTGTAGTTCTAGAGTCTAGGACCAGCAGGGAAGGGGAAGCAGGAAGAAGAAGGTGTGTGAGAACAGCCAACCCTTCCTGGAGAGTGTAGCTGGGTGGAAATGGAACGAAGCATGGGATGAACTGAGCCCGTGCTGAATGGGAAACAGAATCTGTTTGAATCATCCTCCTTGGCCTTTCAGGATGACACTAGTCCTCATGTCCCCCTTTGTTGGCCTGGATATCTGAAATACTCTCAGCCAATCTGATTTGAGGTCAGATGTCAACAGAGAGCCAGGGTCTTGGTCACTCTTCCCCATATATAGTTTTTTTGTTAGTTTTGTATCATGGATTGAAGGGGGGGGGCAGGTGCTCAACTCCTTAGCCACATCTCCAACCCTTTTTATTTTTTGAGATAAGGCCTTGCTAAATTGCTGAGGCTGCTTAGGGCCTCACTAAGGTGTTGGGTAAGTTGTTAAAACTAGCTTTGAACTTGTGCTTCTCCTGCTTCAGTCTCCAGAGTCACAGGGATTACATGCAATGTGCTGGTGGCCATCTCCCATATAATAACAGTTTATAGTTAGATAGGCCTGGTAGCACAAGCCTGTAATCCTGTAAGCTACTGGGGATATTGAGGCTGATCTGAGGCAGAAGAATCAAGAGTTCAAGGCCAGCTGAGCCTGGTGGCACATTCCTATAATCCCAGTGGCTCCAGAGGTTGAGGCAGGAGGATTGCAACTTCAAATCCAGCCTCAACAAAAGCGAGGCACTAAGCAACTCAGTGAGACCCTGTGTCTAAATAAAATACAAAATAGAGCTGGGGATGTGGCTCAGTGGTCCAGAGTTCCATCCCCAGTACCAAACAAACAAAAAAAGAAACAAAAAGTTGAAGGCCAGCCTGGGCAACTAAATGAATCTCCATCTCAAAATAAAGAGGACTGGTTCAATGGTAGAGCACTTACCTTACCTACCTAGCATGCACTAGGCCCTGAGTTTGATCCCCAGTACAGGGGGGTTAGGGGACAAGTTAATAATTAAGGTTTTGGAGTTCTTTCTATGTATATATTAGTGATTTATTCACATCACCTCATGAATTCAGTATTATTAACACCACTTTATAAGGTAAGAAAATTAAAGCACAGAGGATGATTTGCCTGTGCTTTCATCATTAGTGAAAGTGGGAGCAAGAATTCAAACACAAGACAGGCAACACACACACACACACACACACACACACACACCCACACCAATCCAATGATGGAAATTTGGAATGGGAGGCATTAGGGGAGACGGAACCAAAGGAAAGAATTCTCAAAGCCAGTCATAACTTAAATACTTATATAGTAAGAGTCTAGTCAGCTCCCCAAATCTTTTATATGAGGTCTCAGCCTACCTAATCCCTGAATCCTACCTAGGGTTGACCAGAATTCCCATAGGGGACTCTAGTCCCCAGTGACCATATAGCTTGGCTCATTCTACATTGTGCATCACCAGCAAAGGACTCAGCCCCCAAAATGCTAATAACAAAGAGATTTTAATGCATAAGGCACAGTATAAGTCTGAAATCATTAGGCATCCTCATACCCAAAGGGCCCAGTAGGCAGAGCAAAAGCAGCAGAGATGCTGCCCCACTCCCCACTGCTGGACACCCTGGAGAGCCCCCAGAAGAGTAAGGGGATCCAGTCTTTGGCATGGTGCCTGGGGAGCAGGTAGTAACTAACATGGTCCCAGCTACCCCTCTGGAGGGGTACTGCCATTAAGGGGCAGCTCTTTGGTCTAGAGACAGTTTGTGTGAATGTCCAGGGGTCAAGCTCTGTGGGTCAGGGGGATACAATGCCCCAGGGATGGGCAGTCGCTGGACAGTCTTCTCATCCCTCAGGGACAACACGTGGGCTTCTTTTTGCTGGCAGTTAGGTAGAGGTTGCTGTCATCACTATTGATGCCTAAAGAAGGATGAGAAATATGTGAAGTAGGGATTGCAGTTCCCCTGGCTCTCTGCCACCCTCAACCAGGTGGACACTCACGGACAATATCTCCAATGCGCCGAGCCCCCGATTTCTCCAGCTCAGCCAGCACATTGGCCTCAAATGTCAATGCTGCCACACGAAAGAAGAATTCTCGGACATTCTCACCTGACATGGAAGCAGATGGGTGCTTAGTGGCAATGCCAGGTCTGAGGCATTGGGCACAGCTAGAGGTATATGAGTGAGAGGACAGGTGGGCAGGAATATAGAAAGCTTGAAGCCTCCACTCACCAGTGAGAGATGAGACTGCCCAGTATTCAGCCTTAATCTCTTGGGCCACCTTGAGAGCATCTTTCTCCATTAGTGTATACTGAGCAGAAGTCTGCAGGAAGGTCAGAGTTAGATGTGGGGGGTCCCATCACCAAGTTGGGAAGTCCCCCCACTAGCACACTCACACTCAAGTCCTTCTTGGAACCCACGAGGAACAGAAGCACACTGGAAGGGTCATTCTCCTTGAGCGCATCAGCAAGCCACTGCCTGCCACAGATGGTGGACAGGAGTGGGGAATGAGTGAGCCTGACAGATTCCTCCCACCAATATATTTATATGCCTAATTTATTTCTCTGATCCTAGATGCATTCTCTCTGCCCCTCCAATACCCACTTGTTCTGGGGATTGCACCAGGGGCCCTGCCTGTGCTAGGCAAGTGCCCTGCTGCTAAACTATACCTTCAGCACCCCCTAGATGCATTCTTCTTCTCCTCTGACCACCCTCCCTTCCCGATCCTCCCATTGTGTTCTAGCATCCTCACATACTTGGTATGTTCCAGGGACGCCACATCATTTAGGTTGAAGACAATGATGATGGCTGGAAGAATGGCAGAAACAATCCCAGGTTGACAAGAAAGACACCACTGGATCAATCCCCCACCCTCCACACTCTAGATCAGATTCTAGGAGCACTCTTAGACCCACCTGCCCCATATGGCCCAGTCCCTACCTTGAGCTCCACGGTAGTAGGTTGATGCAATGCATTTGAACCTCTCCTGACCAGCAGTGTCCCAACTGGAGGAAGAGCAGAACCCAAGAATGTGGGGGCATAGTTATAGGTGCTGGGGCAAGATAGCTGGAAAGGATGAAGGAATTACTCACAGCTGGAGACTGAAGGGGACACCCAACACTTCAAATCGTTCCATCTCAAAGTCCACTCCAATTGTAGCTTTGTAATTCTTATCAAAGGTGTCTTTACAGAACCTGAGGAAACATCCGATGCTCTGACCTATAGCCCAGCATATCTTACCAGGCGTGACTCCACCCTGCCCAGCACCCTTACCTATTAATGAGGCAAGTCTTCCCCACTGACAGGTCCCCCACCACAATGACCTTGGAGATCTTAAATCTGCTGAACACAAGAGTGAACAGGATGAGTGAACACCAGCTTTTTACCCTAACAGGTTTGTTCCTGTTCTGTTATTTTAATAAGGATTAAACCCAGGACCTTGTACATGCTAGGCATGCTCTCTACCATAGAGCTACACCCCCAACACTGAGTAGCCATGTGACTTTGGACAAGTTACTTAAGCCCCTTTGAGCCTCAATTTCAACACTGATTAGTGGAGATTTAACATATATTTTAATGGGTTGTTGTGAAGGTTAAAATGAGATTTATGTCATATATTCTAGGGAATGTCTACATCTTCTCCCCATTTTAATATCTCTTAAATCAGAATCCATCTTTAGTGGTAGTGTTTTCTATTTGATAAAAGACAGTAGCATCTGTTGGGCATGTAGCACATGCCTGTAATCCCAGTGGTTCTGGAGGCTAAGGCAGGGGGATTGAAAGTTGGAGGCCAGGACTGGGGTTGTGGCTTAGTGGTAGAGCACTTGCCTAGCATGCATGAAGCACTGGGTTCAATCCACAGCACCATAATAAAGGTACTGTGTCAATCTATACATCTACAACTAAAAATATTTTTTTAATTTTTCTTAGTTATACAAGGCTCTTTTAATGTCTTTGTTTTGTTTATTTATTTTATGTGGTGCTGAGGATCAAACCYGGTGCCTCACAGGTGCAAGGCAAGCGCTCTGCCACTGAGCCACAATCCCAGCCCTAAAAATATTTTTAAAAAGAAAAAAAAAGAAAAGTTGAGGCCAGCCTCAGCAACTTGGCAAGGCCCTAAACAACTTAGCAGGATCCTATCTCAAAATAAAAAGTACAATAGAAAATGGGCTGTGGATGTAGCTCCATGGTAAAGTGCCTCTGGATTCAATCCCCAGTTTAAAAAAAGACAATAGCATCCAACACACTGCCTCCCACACAGAAAAAGGCTCTTTTAATGATGGCAACTCATTAGTATTACCCTCCTTTTTTTTTGGGGGGGGTACTGGGAATTGATCCCAAGGGCTTTACTACTGAGCTACATCCCCAGCCCTGTTTATTTTTATTTTGAGACAGGGTCTTGCTAAGTTGCTAAGGACCTCACAAAGTTGCTAAGGCTGGCCTTGACCTTGTGATATTCCTGCCTCAGCCTCCAGGTACCACCACGCAGAGCTACTATTACCTTTTATTTATTTATTTTTTTAATATTTTTTAGTTGTTGATGGACCTTTATTTTATTTGCTTATTTATATGTGGTGCTAGGAATTGAACCCAGTGCCTCACATGTATGAGGCAAGCGCTCTACTGTTGAGCTACAACTCCAGCCCCCTACTATTTAACCTTTTTAAATCCACTATGAGACTTGTCCCATTAGGTAGCGTTCGTCCCTGCCCTGGGGTTCAATGGATGGTATGTGACCATTTCTCCATGTTGAATACCTTCTCTATATCTGAAATCCAGCAACCCCATTTCCTACAACTCACAACCCTGTGAGGAAAACACGTTGGGAGGAAAGCAGGCTTAACAATTGGCTGGCAGGACTGAAATGGGTCTCCTAACTCACCCCACGGTGCCTGTCCGGTGCTCCTGGCAGGCGCAAGTGACGCGGGGGTGGAAGTCTTTGCGCACGTGCAAAGCGGCCTCCTTCCTCAGGCACTGAAACRTAAGCAAGAGAATGGGGCTCAGCCACTCCAGACTCTAGTCCCGCAACCAAACAACTCSAGTGGGGGTGGGGTGGGAAGCGGACCACCCAGAAGCTACAGGCCTCGCTGGGCAGCAGGGCTGGGCCGTTGTCTAACTGGTCTGGTGCCGCCTATTCCCCGCCCACGCCCTGTAGTAGCCAGAAACCCGACGTGGCCCTGGCGCCTACCTGGGGCAGCTCCGCCAGGACGCGGTCCCTCCGCACCGGCGCCAGAATGTTCATCTTGCCTGCGGACTTGCGGGGCACCCTGAGACGGCACCGAGGCCTGATCCGACCCGACGGCCCGGCCCCGTAGAGACCCGACTATCACCCGCGGCCGAGGGGTCCCGACTATAACTCGGGGCCACGGGGAGCCGACGGGAGCCCGAGGCCTCGGAGACGCTACGACCACCGCAGGCCACGGGGATGAAACGAACACCTGGGGCCGGGGAGAACCCACAATCACCCGGGCCCGAGGCGTCCCAAAGACGACTCGGGGGCGGGGAGACCCCTCGGCCGCCAAATGGGGACGCGGAGTCCCGTCCGGGGAGGCCCGAACCCGCGCTGATCCTACAATAACGCGGGGCCGTAGAGTTCCTACGACAACACGGGGCCGCGGAGACCCGACGACAACTCGGGGTCGAGGAGGCCCTACCATAACAGAACGGCCTGGGGGCGCGGAGCGGCCCCGCCACACGGGGTCAGTGTGGGAAGGGGCGGCGCTGCCAAGGCCGCTAGAGGAAGGGGCGAGGGGCCAGGTCCGGCAGCAGGGCCTTGCGTCCCACTTTGCTCGCGCTCAGCTACTGTTGTAACCTGATCCCCGGAAATTCCTGGAGAAGGGCCGCCCCCTACCCCTCTCCCAGCGGCTCCTAGACTCGCTGCCCGCCCTCGCCTCCCCCTCTCTTCTCCTCCCCACAGCCCAGACTCGGACTACCCCTTCAGACGCTCACCCCACACCAGGACCGCCCCCACGCAGACTGGAGCGCATCCAAATCGGGATCCCCTAGGCCGTTTTGCCTGCACCTCGGTGCTGGGTTACATCTTCCTGGAGACCCTTACCCAGCTGAATTGGTGATGGGGAATCAGTGATTGCTGCGCAGCATCTGGCAAGGACCGCGAGGAGGAGAAAGGGGGAGAGAAGGGGCCCAAGGAGAGGCGGCGCTTCCCTCCTCGATTCCTGGCCCGGGACATGACTCATAGAGTCTGCCCCTGCTCGCCCTTATGCCCTGGGAGGTGTGTGTAGAGGGGGAGCACGTAAAGGGTGCCAGAATCAGAACAAACTGCCCAGTGGGCAGTCGTACGAAGTCCGATGTCTTTTCCTTCAAGGCTGCTATGTAGATCGAGGGGTAGTAGGGCTGATGACTAAACTGCCTCCCTGAATGGGAAAGAAGGACTAGGTGGCCTGAGAAGCCTCGCCGTTCGAGTTGTCACCATTCYGGGACGCGGGGACACCCCTCTGATAGGGTTCATTTTGCTGTCCCCTTTGGAACAGTCTTCTCTCCGCCCCCAACCAGGACTTTTCTTTTTGCAAAGTCTTGCCAGATAGAGGAGAGGCCAATTTCACCAACAAAGGGACATTTGGCTCCAGAAGGGAAGGGTGAAGACAGAAATGACGAAATGGGGAAAGATTAGACACAGACTCTCAGAAGAATATCCGAGCATTGTGAAACCCTGTGTCTGGGTGCTCACAGATATGCTTAAAGAATATTATCAGAGCCTGGACAGATGGTGCATGACTATTCCCAGCAACTCGAGAAGCTGAAGCAGGAGGATCACAAGTTTTAGGCCAGCCTTAGCAAGTTAGATCCCGTCTCAAAATAAAATATAAAAAGTGTTGAGGATGTAGCTCAGTGGTAAAGTGCCGTGGGTTCAATCCCCAGCGACAAGAAGTAAGAGAAAAAACGAAAAAAGTATACGTAGAAAAACTGTCAGGGTAGATGTGTACCTCCTCCCATACTTTGCAAATCATTGGGGTATTTGCTGAAGCACATCCCTCTCAGGGCCTCAATTTTCCAGGAATGTTGTCTGAAGGAGTTAATTTTAGGCAAATCCTGCTCTGACATTCTAGAACTTTGCTTCACCCGCTCCTTAATCAGTCTAACAATATTTCATCTAGTTTGCAGTGTTACTCTTCTCCTGGCGCTGCAAACCTCTTCGGCAGACATTGTTATTTGCTCAAGATGGAAAGCACCAGGGACCTATACACAGGCCCAAGCAAAGAAACACACATCTGAAAAACTACAACTTCCAAGAAGCTTTGCGGCCTTACGAAGGGCGGGGTGGCGCATGCTTAGCTCTGCCAGCAAAGACATCCAACTATAATTCCCAGAAGGCCATACAGCACAGGTTATCCAATCATCTCTAAGTAAACAGCATCGCGAGTCTTCAATGAGATTTGGCACTATAAGCCCATGGGACCGGGCCTCGTAGACCCTTTTCACCAAGATGGCGCCGAAAGCTAAGAAGGAAGGTGTGTGTTGGGGCTGGGGACCGCGGTGGGTTTTCCTGGGATGTCAGCAGAACGAACGGCCTGGGAGGACAGTGGTTGAGCTAAGCTCCTTGAGAACTTTCCCCGGAGCCGCTTCCTGGGGTTGGGCGAAACTGAGGCTTATGTGGGCCGCGTGGACCAAGCCGCATGGGCTGAATTCCAGTAAGGGGGTTTGAGAGAACATTTCTCGCATCATCCGCCAGTGAGGCCAGACAGTTGACTCTGGGGAGCTACACGMAGTCACAGGCCAGTTCTCTCATTTATCCAGATATATAAGGAATTAAGCTTCTTCAGCATTACTCATTATTTTGTCGTATTCAGCGGGGCTATATGCCCCTCTCCTTCGGAGTTACATGATGGTATGTACAAAATTCTTTAACAGATCTGGGCAAAATTTGGGCGTTCGATCAGTACTAGTTGGGTTTTTCCCTTGTATCCTTTAAGTTGTTCCAAGTTGATTATCTTCGCTTCCGGTATCGTGCATATGATGGAAAAATCGTGATCTCCTGAGATTTGTGAAGTTTTCAAAGGAACCACTGATGCACGTGTTGACAGAGGCACCCGTCCTGAGGCCGGAAGTGGCCAATTTCTGAATTCGCACCCCCTTTTTTTTTTTTCCTTCTCTCCCAGCTCCTGCCCCTCCCAAAGCTGAAGCCAAAGCAAAAGCTTTGAAAGCCAAGAAAGCAGTGTTGAAGGGTGTCCACAGTCATAAAAAGAAGAAGATCCGCACGTCACCTACCTTCCGGCGACCCAAGACATTGAGGCTCCGGAGGCAGCCCAAATATCCTCGGAAGAGCGCCCCCAGGAGAAACAAGTCAGTACTGCTCCTACACCCATGAGAATATTTTTCATTGGTGATTTAGGCAACCTGGAGTATGGCCTCTCCAACACATTGATATCCGGTGTGCTGCTCTGATGTGAGATTTCTTTCTGCCCTAATTAAGAACGAGGAAACTGTTTGTTTTATGGGAATTGAACATAGGGCCTTTCTTGTCTGCTAGGCAAACGCTCTACCACGGAGCTACAATGCCTATCCTTTATGAGATGATCTTGATAAGTTGCCAAAGCTGCCTTCGATCTTGTGATCCCCCTGCTTCCACGACCTAAGTAGCTGGGATTGCAGGTATTTGCCACTGTATCCGTCTCAGAACAAGAGACGTTTTGCATTATTGACGGGAATTAAGGCAATATACAATCTATCAATTTTTATTTGGATTACTTATCGATTCACATGTAGTCAGAGTTTGAAAGACCACTTTATTGGTTGTATGAAGTAGAACTAGAGAGGTGCTTCTTATTTTGTAGTTCCAATTTTAGTTACTTGCTGGTGACACCTATTACTTATGGGGGGTTTTGTTGTTGTTGAACCCAGGGCCAATTTACTTCTGAGCTATATCCTAGCCCTTTTTTGAGATTGGGTTTTTGCTAAGCTGCTGAGGTTGGCCTTGAACAACTCCCTCAGCTTCCCAAGTTGGTGTGGTTACAGGTGTGTGTGGTCCTGGGTGACCTATTGCTTAAGAGTGAGAATGTGTGCTGTTTTTTTAGTAGCTAGAATGATTGTATTATTTATTTACAGAATCTAACCTAGTTGCTTAGCACCATGCCATTGCTTAGGCTTGCTTTAAGATGTCCATCCTCCTGTCTCAGCCTCCTGAGCTGCTGGGATTATAGGTGTGTGCCAGTGTGCCCAGAAGAATTCAGTAATTTTTATTTGTGGCAGTGATAGCCTGCCAGCAGTGTAAAGGAATTTCATTCACTCCCAAAGTTCAGGCTAGGCTCAGGAAAGGTTCTGGGGAAGGGGTAAAAGCTGTCGAAAAACAGAAATTAAGAGATGAGTCCTGACCTTGCTTCAAAACAGGAAAATAGTGACTGGCTGAGCAGAGCCTGGTTTTGTCCATTTAACCAATAAAAAGTTGGTCTTAAGTAGCTCCTAGCCAGCATGGTTATGCATGCTTGAAGTCTTAGCAACTCTGGAGACTGAGGTAGGAGGATCCAAGTTTGAGACCACTCAAAGCAACTTAGCATGATCCTGTCTCARAAAAGGGCTGGTCAGTGCCCCTGGCTTCAATCCTTGGTACAAACAAAAATCCCAGCAATTCTGGGAGTCTGAGGCAGTAGGACTGCAAGTTCCATGCCACCTGGGGATGTAGCTCAGTGGTAAAGCACCCTTGGTTCCAATCCCAAATACAAAAAAAGAAAAAGATTAACTCTTGAGTACCGCCACTTTTTAGCAAACAGAGGTAGATGAAATGTTTGGTCCAGGCTCATAGTGAAGCACCAATATGAAACTCTAGCAAATGAAAGGGTTCAAGTAAAAGGTGAGTCTTCAGTCATTTAAGGATGCAAGCCCTCAGGTTAAACAAAATGCATAAAGGATCTACCTACAGGCTGAGAATTAAGATCCCTAAGATTCAGGGTGCAGCTGATGACAGCATTTAGCGACCAAAGTCTGATGAAACTGATTGCTACTTATTGTCTGATGCACCTATGCTGTATTGGCCTAGGGTTCCAAAGGAAGGCCCATCCTTTCTTATACTGGGCCTACCTAGGCCAGGTGACTGCAGTTTGCTTCTTCCCCTAGGCTTGACCACTATGCCATCATCAAATTCCCTCTGACCACTGAGTCAGCCATGAAGAAGATTGAAGACAACAACACACTTGTGTTTATTGTGGATGTCAAGGCAAACAAACACCAGATCAAACAAGCTGTAAAGAAGCTCTATGACATCGATGTGGCCAAGGTTAACACCCTGATCAGGTGAGTGGTGCCCCATGGAATGGGAGGGAAGAGGCTGGAGCTATGGAGGTCAGACATTGGTTTTACAGTGTACAAACTCCCTGCTATAATTATAATCCTTTTTATGGAGTGTAGACCTGAGGAAATTAGGTTAATCAAATTCTGGTTCCCTACATCTATTTGTAGAGGAGACAAAGCAGTTTGTCAGATTACCTGGTTTATGTCTTGAATGTAGTGTTTGCAATAAAAGGAATTGTTTTTGGTTTGGCTTTTCTAACCCCTCGGTGCAAATGATGGAAAATTCACTATTTGGAAAAGAATGACATGAACAAAGGAACCACTGATGCACCAGAGGATTAGGGGACGGGGAAAGGGTATGTGGTGAGGTAGGGACATGAGATCAGCAAGGACTAAGACTTCCTTCTCCACCCAGGCCTGATGGAGAGAAAAAGGCATATGTTCGACTGGCTCCTGATTATGATGCTTTGGACGTTGCCAACAAAGTAAGCTTGCTTCTTTTGCTACAAACTGTAATACCCACTCCCTGGGTGTAAGTGATGTGTCTGTTAGTGACCAAAGCCTGACTTGCTGATTAGTCATAACTGACTGACTGCACCCCTAAACATTTCAGTTCCAATAACAAAGCTCCCTTTTGTTTTTCAGATTGGGATCATCTAAACAAAGTCCAGCTGTCTAATTCTAAATATACTTTCTTTTTTCCAACATATATATGCTTCTTGTCTTTTGTTTGGGCTGGGGAAGATCAGATAGTGAAATACACCAAGGTAACAGGTCTTCAGGGATAACCTGAACCCTTGGCCTATCAAGCCACCATACTTGTTATAACCCCTGAGGGCAAGGGCTTGGGTTCTAAATTTGCCTTTCCTCATACAGGTAGGAGAATAAACCAGTTGGGTATTAATAATAATAGAGTTGCATCCATTTCAGGGCAATGTGGGTTGGCTGCAACTRGGGTAGTGCCTAGTCTTCACACCCACCTACATGTCCAACCAGTCTGTCTGCTTCCCTYACCCCTTGCCCAAGAAATCACGACTTCAGGAGTGTTTTCATTAGTGTTTTCAATAGTGCAGGTGCCAATWTGAGGTGGAAAGKTTGGCCCCAAACTTAGTGCAGAGTCTGCTTATGTGTGAGGCTGCTTCTGACCTTGATTTTGCTTGCTGTCCTTGTCACAGGTCCCAAGCTCTACACCTCATTCAGTCAAAAATTTGTCTTTGTGTTGCTGGCCAGGGACCAGTCCAGGGCAGAAGTCAGAGCGGAGGAGGCGGGAAAAGTAGATAAGGATCATTACATCCAGCATGAGCAGGATGCCCAATAGAAAGGTTCCCAGGGTCCTCTGACCTGCATATTGCAGGAAGAAATTGGTGAGGTAGGCCTGAGGCGCCAGGCGGAAGAGAAAGTACATGACCAAGTTGACATACTTATTGATCCTGTAGAGGAGAAGATCCTGGGCATTGTTGATCTTCATCATCATGCGGATGGTGAGGAAGATGTTGCTGACTTCCACCAGTAGTGTTAGAACACCCCCACCTACAAAGCTGCTCCAAAAGATGCCTGAGAAGAAGGCACCCATGGCCTAGAGGACAAGTGAGAGGAAAGGGCTGGGAATCTGGGTGCCAGGGCTTTCCTGGTGTTACAAGACCACCAACCAAAATGGGAACTGGAAAATGATTCCCAATTTCTTGTGGAATAAAAGCTTGCATGGATGWTTTTTCTCATYAAATACAATTAGATTTTGATCCCTCTCCATTAATTCTGGCTATTGAGTTTCCAGTCTATTTACTGAGTTAACAGGTGAACCCAGGAATTGACTCGGTGAGCAAGGACACAAAGAAGGAGCCAACCTCAGCATTCTAGCTTAAGAAGCAGGTTGCAGGGCTAGGGACTAGGCTGGGAATGGCTTTCTCTCCTAGGTTTAGAAATACGAGGCTAGGTTACCAACACCAGGCCTATAACACTTTGAGGGCTTCTCACTTACCATAACATGATGAACAAGGTATTCCCAAGAAGCTCGAGCCTGATGACTAACCACGATATCCACTGTGTCATGGATGAAATACCCTAATGGAGGGATAGAAGAGGTCACAAGGGGCAGAAAAGAAACTCTTTCTCCACTTACCTGAGGTTTCATGGGCAAGACTTACCTGCGGAGAAGCAAACAAGCAAATAGCCTGAAAGTGACCATGCTGTCTCAATCTCTACCAGCATCTCCGGGGTCTGCCATAAACTGGGAAGGAGAGAAAAAGGGAGGTCTCTCCATTTCGGCATCCCCAAAGACCCTCCTCCCCGAAACCCTTGCCAATCCCAGGGCAGTCTGGACTCGCGCTATTGGCTGACTAGGCAACGAGGAGGGGCTTGGCCRAAACCCAGGTGCCTCTGGTTTCCCTGGGCTGCTCCTGGTTGGGTAGTTTTCCAAACAGGGAATCAGGTGAGCGCCAAGGCCTCTGCTGGCCGAGAGTGATGAGAATAGTAACTCGGAAGCCAGTCCCAGCACCCCATACGGGATCCCCTGGCCACCTCACTCCCCCAGTTGCTCACTCACCACAGCAGCGCCCAGATCCCTGACACAATAGAGTGCGCGAAAGAGACGAGTAGGTTGTGCCAGCGCCAAGTGCGCAGGGGGTCGGTGCGCACGTGCGCAGGCAGGGGTAGGCGACACAGCGCGCGCCGGAGCGCCCGGAAGGTCAGCGTGGCGCCCAGGAGCAGCGGCAAGGCGGGGTGCAGCAGTGGGAGCATGATGGCCCTTCCTGCCCTCTGTCTGTCCACCCTCTAGGCCGCCTCCTCGGGCTGTTCTGGGAACAGGGTTCGCTGTCTGGCCAGTCCACCCSGGCGGCCTCTCTCACCGGCAGCAGGAGCCACAGCTTTCGCGGAGCCGTCTAGGCCCCTTCGCTCCTCCCCGCCCTCCCGGCAAGGCCTCTGCCCCCGCCCCCATCCGCCCCGCCCCGCCCGCCTGCCCCCGCCCCTCCGGCGCCTCTGCCGCGCCGAGGGCCAGAGCCCCATTTCCCCCGGGCCTCCCCGGCCCCGCCCGGGCCCTGCCCACTTCAGGCGGGAAGGGGCTGTCCTGGGGGTGCCGCCTGAGAGGCAACCCTCACTGGCGCCTCTTGACTGGCGAAAGGAGTCCCCAGCCGCCCTCGCTCGCACAGCCTCAATTAACCCGCATCCCCACTTTCTCCGAGGCCAGCAGCTCCCTGGGCGGGTACTGGGAGAACTCTCCGCCCTCAACTCCTTTCTGGGCAGAGCAGGGCGGGAATCATCACACACACACCCTCTAAACATTGGTCCTGGGAAGGGGTCGGAGCCCCTCAACGGGTGATGGCTCCGCCCAAACCCTGTTCCTCCACTGTCTGGAGACCGACGTGTTTACCTACCTCTCCCACGCCCCCCCACAAGTGGCGCTTAGGAACTGTTGAGTCACCCATCATCACTTATCCTCTAAGCCCGCTCTTGGGTTCCTGGGGCCAAGCGGCTGTCACAATCCTCCCACAGACAGTCTCAGCCTTCTTCTCCTGGCTCCCTGAAGGCTGGGGCGGGGAAGACTGCGGATTTGCCCAGACAGCTGGGGTGACCCTCTCTCCAAGCCAGTCAGTGTCTGAAGTAATTGCGGATACGGGCCACTAGGTGTCAGCCTGACCTCACTGTGGCGAGGGTCTCCTTCGCCCTCCAAAGGTGTAAGGCAGTTGCTTTGGGAGGAAAATAAGCAGACCCTGGGCAAAAAAAGAGGCAAGCTGAAAGCCTGTGGAGGAAGTGAAGAGGTGTTTGTGCTGAGGGGTGGAAGCAGAGGGGAAGGTAGAAGTGGGAGCGAGGGAGGGAGGAAAAGCTAGAATCCTGAGGCACAGGGACCCAGGAACCAAACCGTTTGGGTGTTTATTGTGTCTCCCCTAATGGCTCCAAGGTTACATATTAACCCCTATGGGACTCCTGGGTCACTCAAGGTCCAGTCGGTTTCCAGGTGAGGACTTGATGTCCTGGGTGAGTGGCTTTCCTCCTTTGCTCAGAGGGCAGCTTGTCAGCCAGCTGACATCGGCCTGGGCCATGGATTTCAGGGGCCTTCGTGGGGCTCTTTCAGCGTTCATTTCACATGGGCGAGTTTGGGGTCGTTTCAAGAGGTGGGACGAAGGCAGAAGATAAAACACCCCTTTCCCCACATTCCTCGCCCACTCAAAAATAGGGACGCTAACCTTTAGCTAAATAATTACCCTTCTCCTTTGTACTGAGCTTTTATGGAGCTCCCACAAAGCACAGGTGCCAGGAAGCTGCTAGGATTATACTCACTTCTGGTTTAGATCCAGCAGTCCTACTAACCAATCCCCCTACCTCTGGGCATTGAATCCATCTGTGGGAAACCAGAGGGTTTCCCTCCTTTCCTTCCCTGACGCTTTTGCTTTCGGATAGTRGTCTGCTTCCACTCCCAGCTTCTCCCAAAGAGGAGGGCTAGAGTTTGTGGCTCCGTAGTAGAATGTCCACTTAGCACATGTGAGGCACTGGGTACAATCCTCAGCACCATGTAAAAAATAAAATAAAGATATTGTATCCATCTACAACTAAAAAATGTATTAAAAAAAAAAACAGAATCTGTGTCCTAGAATATTGGGGAGGGGTGTATAAGCATCTAAGACGGATTCCCCTACTGCAGCATTCTGSGTATGAAGCTGGTGGTGGGGAGACTGAAAGTGTGGACTAGCACGTGCTTACTCGAGGCAACAGCCCTGGATGAATCAATTTGCACAGCTTGGGGCGTTCACTGCGAGTCAAAGGAGAAACACACAGAACGAGAGCTTGCCCTAGGTTCAGTTCTGGTTATCATTTGCTTGCCAATGAAAATCCTTCTTCTGAAATAGCGTAGTCATGGGAAGCTGGGGACTCAGTCCTCGCTTCCCACCCTATCCGGCCTTTGGGGGGCAACTCTTGAGCATGAGGCATTCCCTCCGGTCTCACAAACTTTGCAAGAGTCCAATGGGGCCATGGGTGTGAGAAGCGGCTGGTACTGTGCTGGCCATTGAGGGACACACTAAGAAATGAGGTATAGCCGYATTTGTTGGGCCCTACGAGTGACAGGGTGAGGGAAAAACGACTTTGTGTGGGTAGTACGGTGAAGCTCAACTCAGACGCAAACAGACTTTAGCTCTGCTGCTCCGCCCCGCAAAGATTTTATAGCGTAAAGGGCGGGGCTCCAGAGTGGGCAGGTCCGCGCACGCGCCTCATAGGGGTGTTCCGGAAACGGTGTTCTGAGAAATGAGATGGAGAAGTACGAGCGGATCCGAGTGGTGGGGAGAGGTGCCTTCGGGTGAGCCAAGGGTAGAGGGAAGAAAACTGCTGGGGAGTGGGAAAATAAGTCCCAAAACTAACCGCGAAATTGCTACCCGGCTAGCTCCGCCTCCTAGGCGTGAGCGACTATCTGGGCAGCCCCGCCCAGGCTTCCGGTCTCAGTCTGGACTGGGAGATCCGTCTTCAATGAGGCCACGCCCACACCCCTAAGCGCGCGGGTGGCGTTCTTCTGTTGGTTCCCTTGTACACAGGCTGCATAGGTCTTCAGATTCTGGGCTGTGTGTATATAGATATACCAAAACTRCACGGGTATCCGGGTGTGATCCCAGCGGCTTGGGAGGCTGAGGCAGGAGGATTGCGAGTTCAAAGCAAGCCTTAGCCAAAGCGAGGCTGCTAAGCAACTCAGTGAGACCCTATCTCTAAAAAAAATATAAAATAGGGCTGGGGATGCGGCTCAGTGGTCAAGCCCCTGAGTTCAATCCCTGGTACCAAAAAAAAAAAAAAAAAAAAAAAAAGGACTAGTCTTTTCCTTTCCCTTTAGGAACTTAGCCTTTTAATTTTTTATTTTGAGATAGGGTCTCACTCCTTTAACAAGACATACAAGACATTATTAAAGGAGTTATGTTATAGCAGTTATGAAAGGTTATTAAGCAACATGTACAACGGTAGAGAATAATTACTTGGGGTAGCTAGGGAGAAATTCTCTGGGAGATGAGATGTAAAGATAAGGAATGAAGACCAGTACTCTGAAGGAAGAAGATTTTCAGGCAAAGGAAGCAGCATATGCAAAGGTCCTCACATGGAAAGAATTATTGAGAACAATCAAGAAACAGATGCCAAGCTTGATGGGGAGGCTGAGGTAGGAAGATTGCAARTTCCAAGGCACTCTTGGCAATTTAGCAAAACCCTGTCTCAAAATTTAAAAAGTTAAAAGGGCTGGGGATGTAGTTCAGTGGCAGAGCACCCTTGGGTTCAATTGCCAGTACCAAAAAAGAAACTGAAAAAAGATTAGTGTAGTTGGAATGTAGTGGGCAAGGTAAAGAATGGTGTAAAATTTGATTGTCATGGAAAGGGGTTTAATTGATTTAGTATAAGGGCAAGAGCGTTTGTTTGTGCTGGAAATTGAATCTAG